TTTCAGCGCTATCACACTTTGAATGACAATGAAACATTGTACCCAAATGAAATTTTTTTAGCATTTAAAACTTTCTTTTCGTGGTATTTATTCACCACCAGGATTTTTTTTTTTTTTGCTATATAAAATGAAAAAGACCAAAAGGTTTGAAAAAAAAAAAAAAAAAAAAGGGTTATTATTATATTTTCCAAATCTTCATAAATCTTAGACAAAATGTATCCAGCTATCTAAATATACATATAATAGATATACACATAAATATAAAAAAACACAACTAAAAAAAAAAAAAAAAAAAAAAAAAAAAAAAAAAAAATAAAAAAAAAAAAAAAAAAAAATAAAAAAAAAAAAAAAAAAAAAAAAAATAAAAAAAAAAAAAAAAAAAAAAAAAACAAAAAAAAAAAATGGCACCCTTGATAAAAAAAAAAAAAAAAAAAAAAACGTAAAAATTAACACAAAAAAAAATATAAAAAAAAAAAAAAAAAAAAAAAATGGGAAAAAACAAAAAAAGGGAAAAAGAAAAAATTCGACATAAAAAAAAAAACAAAAAACCTCCAAAAAAAATGGGCTGGACAAAAGTATTGGCAAAAAAAAACTGCGGAAAAAAAGAATGTTACAAGCATGTGATGCTCCTGTAAACTCACCTGGGGCAAGTAACAGGTGTGGGCAAAAATAAAATCACACACCTGAAAGCAATAAAAAAAAGAAAAATTCACTTAAACCTTTGCATTGTGTGTCTGTCTGTGCCACACTAAGCATGGACAACAGAAAGAGGAACGAGAACTGTCTGAAACCTGAGAACCAAAATTGTGGCAAAAAATAAAAAAATCTCAAGGTTACAAAAAATCTCCAGAGAACTAGATTTGCCTTTGTCCACAAAAATTATCAAGAAAAAAAAAAAAAACTGTAGCTAATCTCCCTGGTCGTGGAAATGAGGAAAAATTGATGAAAGATTTGCAACGCAAAAAAGTCCGGATGGTGGAAAGCAGCCCCAAACATGTTTCCAAAACATTCAAGCTGTCCTGCAGGCTCAGGGAAAGCATCAGTGTCAGCGCGAAAAATCCGTCGACATTTAAATGAAAAAAAAACGCTATGGCAGGAGACCCAGGAAAACTGCTGACACAGAGAAAAAAAAAAAAAGACTACAAAAATGCCAAAATGTACTTGAGTAAAAAAAGCCTTCTGGGAAAACGTTTTGTGGACAGATGAGACCAAGATAGAGCTTTTCGGTAAAAAACATCATTCTACTGTTTAAAAAAAAACGGAATGAGGCCTACAAAGAACAAAACACAGTACCTACGGTAAAATAATGGTGGAGGTTCAAAAAAAAAAAAAAAAAAAAAAAAAAAAAAATGCCTCTGGCACTGGGTGCCTTGACTGTGTGCAAGGCAAACAAAAAAAAATCTGAGGATTAAAAAAAGGATTTTGGGTCGCACTGTAGGGCCCTATTATGTCAGAAAAAAATTTGCGTCCAAGAAAAAATTCCAAAAAAAACAATGACCCCAAACATACGTCAAAAAAAACTCAGAAATGGATGGCAAAAAAGCGCTGGAAGTTCTGAAGTGGCCAGCAATGAGCCCAGATCTAAATCCCATTGAACACAAAAAAACTTGGAGAATCTTAAAATTGCTGTTGGGAAAAGGTGTTTTTTTTTTTGTCCTTCCAATAAGAGAAAAAAGCTGTTTGCAAAGGAAGAGTGGTCCAAAAACGAGAGGTGTCAGAAAAAACATATTGAAAATATAGGAAGCGACTGATTTCAGTTATGTTTTCCAAAATAAAAATGCAAAATAAAAAAAATTAAGTTAAAACCCAAAAATAAAACTTTTGTCCAGCCCAAAAAAAAATGTGTGAATTATGTCATATTTGCTTTTCTGCCTCTGTTTTATATTTTGTTCCAAACATAAAAAATAAACATGTGTAATAGCAAAAATGTGTTAATGCAATAAAAAAAAAAAAATAAAAAATACTTGATTTTTAAGGAAAAAAATCAAGGGTGCCAAATTTTCGGCCAACTAAAATACAATATAAAAAAGATATAACATACAAACAAACATAAAACAAAAAATAAAATACATACAAAAAAAACATAATAAATACAAACATATATACATATAATACATACATATATAATACAATACAAACATATTATAAAATAAAAATATAAATGTATATATATATAATATAAATATAAAATAATAAAAAAATGTATGTAATAAATATATGTAAAATAATAAATAATATAATGTATATATGTATATGTAAAAATATGTATAAAAATGTATATATATGTATATAAAAATATATATATATAAAATATATATATATAAAAATATAAATAATAAAAAATATAATGGTCGCCAATAAAATATAAACAGTGGGGATCGAAAGTTTGGGCAAATGACCAGCAAAAAAAAAAAAAAAAAAAATTAAAAAAAAAAAAAAGCCAAGGAAAGATGGAAAAAATCTCCAAAAGGCATCAAATTAAATTAGAAAATTCTTAAATATGTCAACAAAAGTTAATTTTATTTCCATCAAAATACACTTTCAAAATAACAGAAAAAAAAAAAAATGGCATCTGCAAAAAAAAAAACCCTGCAGAAAAAAATATCTTGTACTGCCCCCTTTGGCAAAAACAGCTTGTAAAAAATAAATTTTTGTAGCCAGCCAAGAAAAAAAAAAAAAATTCTAAAAAAGGTAATCTTTGCCCATTCTTCCTTACAAAAGTCTTCCATTCTTTGAGATTTCTGGGCTGTCTTCACGCAAACTGCTCTTTTAAATCTATCCATAATTTTTTAATGATGTTGAGGTCAGGAATTGTGAAGGCCATGGCAAAACCTTCATTTACGCCTCTTGAACAATCCCCCGTGGATTTCGAGGTGTGTTTAGGATCATTAAAAAAAATAGAAGCCATCCTCTCTTCAAAAAATTCAGCTTTTTCACAGATGGCATGAAAAACCATCCAAAAAAAAAAATTTTATTGAATCCATTTTTTCTTCTAAAACGTGAAATGTTCCCTAAAAACATAAACTGGCTGCAACACAAAAAAAAGCATGATTGATCCAAAAAAAATTGCTTCAAAAGTTGGACAGAGGTTCTTTTCATTAAATTCTGTGCCCCTTCTTCTCCAAACGTACCTTTGCTCATTCCGGCCAAAAAAAAAATTTTAACCTCATCGGTCCAAAAAAAAACAAAAAAAAAATCAGGCTTGTCTAAAAAATCATTTGCAAAGTTCAAACGATGATTTTTGTGGTGAAACGTAAAGAGGTTTTTTTCTGATGAAAAAATGAAAACCATATTTGTACAAGTATCTCTTTATAAAAAAAGTGTACCCAAAAAAAAAAAATGCCAGATCTTTCTGGAAACGTGCAGTCAAACGTGGGTTTTGAATTGTTTTTCTCTCACAATCCTGCGAGCTGTTCTGTCTGATATTTTTCTTGCTCTTCCAGATCTTGCTTTAACTTCCAAAAAAAATCCTGATGACGGCCATTTCTTAATTAAATTCCGAACAGAGGATAATTGACATCTGAAAACGCTTTAAACTAAAAAACTTAAAAGCCTTCTCCAGCTTTGTGAGCGTCAACTAACAGTTTCAAAAAAACAAATGCTTAAAAACCCATGGTGCTGATTGTTGGGGCAAGGTCAGATAAATGGGCATTTAAAAAACCTTTGAGATTGACATCACCTGGTCTTCCCAGACGATGATTGAAACAATCCATGACAAAAAAGGTCTCAAAAAAAAAAAGTGCATGCTATAAAATTCTGCAGGGTAAAAAACTTTTGCAACGCCAATTTTTTGTTTTCTGTTTAAAAAAAAAACTTAAAAGTGTAAAAACTGATGGAAATAAAAAAAAAACTTTTGTTGACATATAAAAAGAAAACTGTCTAATCTGTAAACCAAAAAAAATATGCCTTTTGGAGAAAAAAAATCTTTCCTTGGCTTCTTTATGCACATTAATACAAATATTTAGCTGGGGTGCCCAAACTTTCGATCCCCACTGTATATGTAAATATATAAATATATAAATATACATATATATATATATATACATACAATATATATATATATACAACAAACATACAAACAAAAATAAAATACAATACATATATATACACACACATACATATAAAATACATACATATACATACATACATACATAAAAACATACATACATAAATACATATATATATATATATACACACACACATATAATTTTTTTTTTAAATACTGTGAAAGCTGTGATTGGTCACATCTTGTCCCATGGTGCGAGGCTGTTGTGAATAGCCTTGTACCATGTGACCTCTGTGATCATTCACAGATCTCTCAAGTAGTAAACAATGAAGTCAGGAAGTGACATCTTGTTTACTACTGTTCGTGTGATTACTGATTGGCCAATCACATGAATAGGGACATCACACAGCGGTCCCATACATCGATCTGTGTTTCGCTGTGTCCCTGGGAGTGCGCACAGCCAATGGATGCGGTGGAAGGGGCGGGGGGGTTGGGGGGGGGGACCTGTGCGCTGACGCACAAATGTGAATGCATACATAGGTCATGTACTCCTAGGTAATATGTGTTTGTACCCCACGTGGGGTATTGCCGCATACATTATAGCAAGAGCAATAGTTCTAGCACCAGACCTTCTGTGCAACTCTAAACTTGCAACCTGTAAAGGCTTTTAAAGCGTCACCTATGGAGATTTTTAGGTACCATAGTTTGGCACCACTTTAAAGCAGCGTTCAGTTCACCATCTATTTACTCAAAGTAACATCTTTTATTTTACCAAACAATTGGGTAATATAGTGTGTGCACTAAAATTCATTAAAATGATGATTTGCATATGCATGAAAAAAACGGTCCAGTAGGGAAGTAGTTAAAGGTGCATTCATCTTACAAATCTAATAACTTAATAAAAATAAGAAAATTTTCAAAAGAAATAGCAGGCAGAAAAACATCAGCAGATTACATATAAAGCTAGGTAGTAGTAACGGATTTGTAAACATACCTGTTAAATATATTTTCACTTGCAGCGTACTTGTCCAACCTTCCAAGTGGGGTCAACATTTCATCTTGTGAGACAAAGTCCAGGGCTGAAGGTATAATAATCACATCAGACTCTGAGCTGTAGTCATCCACACCAACTATCAGAAACATCAGAAACATAGCTTGAAAATCCAGTTACATTATACTAGAAAAAAAAAAAAAAAAAAGATGGCGTAGTGCTGCTGAAAAGATGTATTACTGTCGAGAGCACTGGGCAAAGGCCGCCCCCAGCTTTGCCAAAATGTCCTGAAAGGCAACACATTAGAGAGACTTCTATGATTGCACACAGTTCTCCAGAATGAGCCTGCACTATTGTGCAAAAAAAGCATTATATGTTTTTGTTTTTTTTTAAAGGGGAAAACAAAAAATACTTTTGGCAAATGTCAAATTTAAAGAAACAAAAACCCTTGCAGTGGGGTTCATTTAGTCTAGCGGCAGAGGATTAAAGAGTAAGGGTGAATTCACACTGATTTGAGCTAAAATGCATGTACATTTCCAAGCATTTTCATCGCGTTTTACCCTGCATTCTAGCATTTGTAAAATGCAAGTCAACGCATACAAACAGTTGTTTGTTATGTGTCCTGTTCACACTACAAGGCTGCAAGCAACATGTAAGCATTTTAACATAGCGCAACACAATGCAGGTCAATGCAGCATTGTAGTGTGAACAGGACACAATTTGTGTGTGTATGCATTGATTTGCATTTTACAACTGCGCAGATCAACACACATTAAAACACAACTAAAATGCATGGAAATGTGCATGCAATTTCAATGTATTTCAGTGCAAGTCAGTGTGAATTCTCCCCCAAATACTTGCCTTACACCAGCGCTGTGACCAGTCCCCCATAGCTGCACTCTAAGATGTGTTTGGCTGACTCCATATTGGAGTTTGGACTTCACTTGTTGCATGTGTTTGTATTTTTATTATTTTTTACACATGGGGCAAGACTAAAGCGTACGCCCATGAATGGTCATTTACACCTCCACAGGGATGCACAGATGTTCTGTACAGGCAATCCCACTGATGTCAATTGGGTGGCAGCGGCTGCACGGATACAGATGCTGCTCCCAATTGGACATGCGTATAAATGCATGGCCCCGAACAAAACTGCTGTGTACCACGTAACATCAATGTGACTGCCGGCATGGGGTTGCACGAACACTTGTGCATCCCCATGTGGGTAAACATGGTCCTTCATGGGTGCAAGCTTTAGTACACCCTATGTGAATAAGGTCTTAAAGCGTATGTTTAGTCCAAAATGTTTATTAACCTCCCTGGAGGTATTCCCAAGTGCAGCTTGGGGTAAAGTTTCAGCACCACAAGCGGTAACCCCGAGCTACACTCGGGAATACCCTGCAGCAATGCTTCGGGATCCCTCGATCACTTACCTTGTCCTGCACTCCCGCGATGTCCCCCCTGCAGCGTCCCTGGCAATGTCCTCCGGCCGATGCCAGCATCTGTCTTCTGGGTTCCATCCCCTGCGACGTCAGGACGTACAGGGACAGAACTGGTGGGAAATTTACAAATTTCAAAAAGTGGCATTCACTAAATACACTAAAATCACATAGTAAAACATTACTGTATCAAACCATTTCACATACTGTACATTTTGTCCCAAGTGCTTTGTCCTGTGCCCTGCCTGCATTTTTACTGTTCTTTCTGTCTTGAAACTGAGAAATGTCCTTGGCGTCCAAAAAGGGTCCTTTTAGGACAAAATCGGTTTTAGACCAGCTAGAGAACAGCGATAGTAAAGTAGAACCACTTGCAAAATTGAGCAATAATGATTCATGGGGAAATTCATCATCAGACACTGAAAACGATTTTGAAACTTTGCTCAGTGATGTGCGAACTTGGAGCTATATTTCAAATTTCAGCGTTTTTGGTTTGATTATATTATTGAATTAAATGTATTATTTTTTATGATTATTTATTAAATTATAATTTATAATTTTGTGTTTCAAATTTTAACATACCCGGGATGTTTACTAGACTATTGTTCTGACAGATTTCAGTGAGTTATTCCTAAAAATTACAGGCCTACAATAAAAAAATACATATTTCCATGCAAAAAAAGTACCGCTTTGAGCACATAAATACTGACATAATCAGACCGCTAGGGTGGCTACGTGTTGAATAGAGTAGGGAAGTGTTACAACCTCTTTTTTTTTTTTTTTTTTTATTGCTGTCAGTGTCTGCACTGGTGAGATTCCCAATATCTTTTTCCTGTTTACCATTGTTCCGAAGACAAAAAGTAATGAGAAATTCAAACATATAGAGTTGTCAACAAGTGGCTAGGGTAAATATTTCAAAGTGGATACCTACTCTAGTGACAGCTGTCGAATTCCCCTTACTTTGAAGAGATATCCTCTCACTTTCTGTTGGGCCTCTGGGATAGGAAATCAAGGAAAATGTCATCAATGTGAAAAACTGCAAAGTGACAGGTGATTTATCCTGTCCGTACTTTTCAAAATTAACAACACTTTGGATTGTATGTACCGTTGAATGATAAGGGAATGTAGGGTTTATTTTTATTTAGCTTGCTTCTCGAATATGATGTTCCTATGATGGATTATTTCATTATAAAATAGTGAAGCTTTAACCCCTACAACTAAAGAGTGTGCATTGTTAAAAACTAAAAGGGACTCTGATAGGTATTTGGAAAAAGGAGTTTTGTTTGGTAAGGTTATTGTCAAGGGGAAAACCTGTTGGTCCTCACCAGTCATATGGTATGTAGCATTTAATCAGCGCCATGCGATTTATTTTGAAAATGTTGCATAATTCAGGGCTTGACAAATCTGCTTTGAATTTAGGAGCCAGCTAAAAAAAGTTAGAGGCCAGTTTGTTTTCGACTAACAGGGCTTTATTGTTGACAACAGATATTGAATTTGCATGTGGAGGGGACTGGAGCCGGGCATGCTGCTGGGTGGGATGGCATGCTCACTGTGGGTTTCAGGGGATGCGTGTTCCTTTGGGGCTCTCGGGAGCGTGGGGATTTGACACTTGAACTTGTTGGGGCTGAGGTTTTTGGTGTGTGGTATGCTGTGTGGGCTCACCCCCCTGCTGGTCTCCAGCGCCAGGCATGGGAACTGGCGGGGGCGAAGGAGTAGGGGTGGGGCACAGTGCGCACGGATTGAGGGAGAGGGTAGTGTGGTTGAGTCTTTCCGCAACACAACGGCAGGTCTGCCGGGGGAGGGGGCAGTGTGTTGAGAGGAAGAGAGAAACTTTGGCTCTGCTACAGGTAAGCAGCAGAGCTGGAGTTTTTTGGATGTTGGAGGCTCCCACAGACAAGACTCCTCCCATGGTCAGTAGTGAAGTCATCAGTAATGAAAGCATGTCAATTTTGCAATTAGCCTTTACCACAGAGAACAAGACCCCTCCCCCTGGCTTGCAGCTCCTCCCATAAGGATCCGATTCCTCCACTTGGTCAGCAGCCTCTCCCATATTCACCACAAATATCAATCTACAATACATTATTGTGCTCACATCATAAGTTAAAAGACGTGCCAAAATTCATCACCACGTGATATCACAAACAATCCACTTTCTTTACTATATACTCTTACACTCAATATGTGTATGTGTCCAAGATTCATAATATCCATATCCTTTTCTTCCAAAATTCTGCACTAATATCAGCTTTACTTCCACCTCCTCTCTGAGCTGGAAGGTTGAGAAGTGCAATTGCTTGAACTGGAGGAGGAAGCACAGTGGCGATGAATTTTGGCACTTTTCATTTATGATGTGAGCACAATAATCTATGGTATATTGATATAAAATGTTGAACACACAAGGACTGGGGGAGATTACTAAATGCATATATTTTGTATGTGGGAGGTTAGTTATATTTCTAGCTGCTCGGTATATTATGCCTTTTGGTGCTGTTGGGGACTATATAATGGGAGTTGCTCGCGCCTGGTGCAGGTTGGTGAGTGGGCTGGCGGAAGCCAGGCTCCAGGTCATGGTTTCTGGTCATAATGGTGACCTGGCAACTGGGATTTGTCAAGCCTAAGCAAAATTAAATATCCATTAATCTGTGAAATCAAAACTGGCTTGTACAAAGAGAAACATTAAAGCCGAAGCCACAGAGGTCACAAAGGATCAATGAAGCCACCAAATCAGCAGGAGTGGAAAACAAATAGCAATTCAAAAGGAGAGGTCACCATAGCACAAATACAGTTAGGTCCATATATATTTGGACACTCTCTAAACACTGCAGAATTCATCCGGCTGTTTCTGTCTTCTGTCACATCATCAATAAACACCAATGACCCAATGCCACTGGAAGCTATGCATGCCCATGCCATCACACTGCCTCCAACATGTTTTACAGATGACGTTGTGAGCTGTTCCAAGCTTTCGCCACACTTTTTCTTCCCGTCATTTTGGTACAGATTAATCTTAGTTTCATCCATCCAAAGAATGCTTTTCAAGAACTGGTCTGGTTTATTTTAGATTTTTTTTGGCACTCTAATCTGGCATTTTTTTTTTTTAGGCTTATGAGAATGGTTTGCACCGTGTGGTGAACCCTCTGTATTTGCTCTCGTGAAGTATTCTCTTGATTGTAGGCTTTGACAATGACACGCCCACCTCCTGGAGAGTGTCCTTCACTTGTCTGGATGTTGTGAATGGGCTTCTTTTTCTTTTTTTTTTTTTTTTTACCATAGAGAAGATCCTGCGGTCATCCACCACTGTTGTCTTCCATGGACGTCCATGCCTTTATATGTTGCCGAGTCCACCGGTGCGTTCTTCTTTCTTCAGAATATACCGCACTGTTGATTTGGCCACTCCTAATGTTGCTATCTCTCTGATGGATTGGTTTCATTTTTTAAGCCTTACAATGGCCTGTTTCACTTGCATGGACAGCTCCTTTGAACGCATGATGTAGGTTCAAAGCAATAGATTCCAAATGCAAATACCACACTCAGAATGTACCAAACAGTTGATTTGGCCTGCAGAATACCAGGATACGGCTTCCCAATTTATAGATCCGCCACCACCACACATGTGCTTTGGAAGACTGAGATTGAGCTCTGCAGTCACTTTTGCAGCAGCTATTTTCAAGTCACAGACCTGTACTATGTCCTTTTGTCTCTT